AAGCATCCCAAATCCATTTTGATCTCAAGGAATACTTATCACTTGTAAGCTAGGTCTCTGTCTACGTCTATCACTGTTAGATATTTTTAGTTTATGCAAAAYATTTATTTTCTTTTTTTTGTATTTTTATTATAATGCTCTGATCTATTTAACTAAGAATTAAATCTATCAGCATATACAGAGCTAGCAGCAATGAAATGTTTAAGTATGAGGGAAGGAGAGAAGATCTTGATGTAAGCACTGTTGTTTTCCAGCCTCCAAGACAGCTGGAGCAGCAGTAGTGCAGGAAGTGATGGAAGAGGCCACGCTTCTGTATCTTTCATACATTTGAAATAGAAACATATATTTCTTGTGATATCACATCAGCCTGATTTGCAGTTGATCCAATATATGGGGCACATCTACTGTCAGCTAAATACATACGTGGCGTGATGGGGGAGTGCGGAATCTGTTTGGCTTTCCYCTGCCAGAGGAATCTGTGGGAACATGCTGTCGTTGGGATGTGCTGAAGAGATGCGCTCTGGCACCTACGCCACGCTGGAGAACTGTGAGGACAAACATTTGGGAGGAGAGCGGAGCTGATCCTAATTGAAGCAGACACTAGCTCTCCTGCATCGAAACTCCACCGGCTTCGCCAACCTGATGTCAGGTTCTCCATCACCATGTAAGGGTCGCCTCCGGGCAGGACATGCTAAAAATACCTTGCACTTGCACGGCCCCCTTCTCCTTCCCGCACCTGCACACAAACACACTCAAAGTGAGCAAAGACGGACACGTGGGAGCTGCTCTGTGGCACTACAGCTGTCGATGAGTTTGCCTTGCGTYAAGGTCATATCTGGTCAAGGGTTTTGGTCCTCTGTCCCAGGAGGCTCAGGCAGATGGAAGAAGTGCCATCCTGTGATACTGGGGCTGCAGGGGATGCCGGGCTGGTCTTTAATAGCTTGCAGAAGATAGAAAGCGGAGATGACTGTTGTATTTCACTGCAAGTCTGGCCACACTATTGTGATTTTTTTTTTTTTTTAAGATATCTGTTAATTTGGTTTCTGCAATAAGTGCTGTGGGGTGTATGTTTTGGGTCAGGGGGTTCGGTGATCCCTGCTTGTCTGGGAGACTGAATTTCCAAATTGCATTTTCATTCCCTGCCTGTCTTGGCCATGGAGAGCAGGAATTTTTGTTTGTCCCAAATCCTCACATTTGCAGTTTTGCATTAGAGGAATAGCTTGTGTGGGGAGACGCAGTTTCTTGTTTCTCAGGAGTTCATCTGCTGCAACATTGTCCGGGGCCGGGAAGGCTTCTAAAGACCTTCATCCAAAGGCCCTGCCTCTTCACTGGCAGAGACTGTCTGGGCTTTTTGGTCTCCTTCGGCAATAGACACCATGGGTCATTTGTGGGGAACATCTGGGGACATTTCATTTAATCAGTTTTTTTACTGCTCTTGGGGCTTTGGGTATTAGCACTGTCTCTGCTACTCCTGTTCCCTGACAGAGGCACATAGCGGTTGAGTCTCCAGAGAACTTAAATGTCTTCAAATAAACTATATTATTGGCTCCCTCCAGGGCTAACTGGGTGAAACTTAATGGTCTGTGAGAAACAAAAAGTCAGTAAAAGTGATCTAATGTCCTCTTCTAGGCTTAAATGCAGTGAAATGGTGAAAATGCTGCTTCTGAAGGAAATGGCAGATGAGCAGTTGCCAGGATCTCATACCAGGCTTCTTCTYCAGCTCTGTCCATGGAGAGCAGTTCCCTTTTTGCATTCCCGTTTGCAGGCTGTCAGCAGACTCACACTCTCTTCACTCTTAGACACCAAGTCCTCATCTCCATCCTTCTGTAGAGCCTGCTGGCCCTTCCTCCCTGCTCCAGTCCCAACATTGTWTGAGCCAATGTTCTGAAAAAGGAAACTTTTTTGTTTCCTTTCTGTTTTACCAAAATTCAAACAAGGGATCTAATGTCACTGGCACTGGCCTCTCACATGGGTCAGAACAAACCTCCAGTTCCAACATATCCCTGACCCTCCTGAGTGCAGAACCCAGCCTTGTGCGTCTGCTCCTTCCCTGACTGGCTGAGAGCTTTAGCCAAACAATATCTTCCAGAAATTTATATCAGCTCAACATGGCTTTGTTGCCTGCTCCTCTTTCTTTTTTTCTTTATTTTGGAAGCATCAGTAAGGGTGGCCAGAGCTGCCTCTCTTCAGCTGCTGCGTAGGTGTCATGTCCTGCATGTGCTTTCAGTAGAACCASCTCTCAGGTTTAAATGTTTTACTTATAATATATCCATATGAAAAGAGATATCTGAAAGAATTTAGGCCTAGAAAGCCTAGAGTGTGATGATTTTAAGCATGAGTCATGGGCAGTGGCAGATGCATGTTCTTTTTTCCATCAGAATTCCAGGGCAAAGGCTCTTATGCTCAGTTGGGAGAAGATGGTAGCTGTGACCAGATGTCTAGGACAGATTCCTAGACAACTGGAACCAGAGGTAAGGGCATGAGTATCTAGTATGGCTATCTAGCAAAGGGGATCCAGGAACAACATAAACTAGATCCCCTCTTTATTCACGGGTAGGGTGACTGGTTTTACTGCCTACTGCAGCTTTTACCTGATTTTGTTGGTTGGCTTTAAAAAAATGAGTGTGCTGCAGACACAAGAGAGATCTTGTATTTGAAGCACAGCAGCTGACATTTGGATGTCAGCAGTACTTGGGCAACACACGCTGGGAATGTCCCAGCCAAAAGTCCCAAGAAAATCAGTTACACAAGTATGAGCAGTTGCAGGGAAATGACCATGCCCTTAYTGGCTGAGGGCGATGTAGTAGTAGTTGCCATGGTTTTTAATCACTATAAACTGTATTTTCTGAGGACCTGTTTAGAACTTTTCTGCAATTAATTGCAAATTTGCTTTAAAATAGGAGCATARTTAGAGTCAAGAATATGTATTTTCTGTTCTTCTTTCCCTTCATATAGCCCGGAGGCCAAGATGGCACATGCAAATCATCATGAATGCCTGAATTTTTATCCAAGTAAAGGCTCTTCATTCATGCTTACACACTTGCATTTGCAAATGTTTCTGCTGTTGATTTTTTTCACCCAATTTCCTTCCAAGGCGGAAGCTGAACTGCCCAAATTCAACTAGTAGAGCTAATTACCGGATTAAGTGTAGCTCTGTTCTCAGGGAAAGCCTGTCTGTGGCCAKCTACTTATTAACAGCGAGTTGCATGAGGCTTGCAAAGTGTGGCATTATCACAACCCAACTGATCAGAAAAGTTAATCTTCTTAGACCTTCCGCTGTGATCTTTATCYCTGTTAGGCTTCTTAATTTTTTTTTGAAAGGCATTGATAAGACATGTGAGTAGTGAGAAAAGGATGAGCTTCCTCCCTGCTGGAAAGCAACAACAAAGAATTTAAAGTATTTGTTTCCCTTAGTCAAKGTTTACAATTCTTGGTAATATTAGGAAGGCCTCAAAGTAATAGTTATTGATACATTTATTAATAGTTATTAATAAATTTGTTTGATAAAACAAAGCAAATAGTACAAAAATCCAAGTACCTCTTAGTGCATTAAATAAATAGAAAGTAACTTTTTAGTTTTGCAAGGTTAATACATTTAGAGCATCTGTTATTTGAAATAGCCCTGGGTTTTACATCATCATGTGGCCAACACTTTTGCTTTATATCAAATTTAATTGCAGAAAGGTGGTTGCAATTATTACTCTTTCAGTTTTCCAGATTGATTGACCTGGCAGTTTCTTTGCTTTTTCTGGTGGTCCTCAGATGCTGACCCTCAACAAGTCTTTTTTCTGCCTAACAATTGCCTCGTCCATGGCCCCCCTTAGCATGAAGGGACAATGTGAGCTCGGATTCCTTTGCAAACTTACTAATGATAAAGACTTTTCRTTCTCCCAGGCATCTTTGGTGCAATCTGTTTCAAACACAGGGATTGATGAGTGTTTCAGAACAGTGTAGGAGGCTGCTGAGCGTGACTGAGCCACAGAGTTAAAAAAAAAAAAAAATCTAAAAAATAATAGAATCATTTCAAATAGAAGATAAATTCAGAGAAGCCATGGTTTGCTTAAAACAAGCCAGACAAGTTTTTGTCTGGCTTTTTAATTGCACTGGATTGCTAAGCTACCCTGAGAACGTCACTTTAATCATTAGGCGAATCTGAAGCCTGGGTCTCCAGAGATCGTGTTCTGATCTCTCACATATGGTATATCGCACTGTTCATTAGACCCACTGGTCCAGTCACATGGAAATGATGTTCAGACTATTTCTATCCATATCTGCTACTTTTCTTTCGGAATGTGTCAGTCCCATGATGAGGGCAGTGACTCCAGCTGATACAGACGCAATTGCTGATTGCAGAGAGAGATACTGCAGTGAAAATAGAAGATGAGTGTTTTATTTCAGTCATGATATGGGCTTTGCAAGAAGTCTCTGCCTGCAAAACTGCCRCTTCTCTTGAGGGAGGAGGGTACTGAGGCTTGGGCTCAGCTTCTGAGATCAAGCCCATGGTTTTCTTCTGGAGTCACTGGTAGCAAAAGGTCATGCTGTGGTGCAAACCCCTTCTTGCTGCTCCAGGGTTGCACTAACAAGGCCCAAGGAGCCACCCTTCTCCCACATARTAAAGCAGCTCCTGTTGCCAGACAGTGGCCAGCCCAAAGAGGCAGAGTTTGCTGTGCCAGGGTGCTTTCCTGCTCACAGGTTCCCTTGTTGAGACAACACATCACATCCCAGGAGCAGCAAAACTTCAGAAGAGCCTTGAGGACGGTGAATTCCCTCTCATGTGTCCCTTCTGCTGACCAGAAATAAAGCAACTGTGTAGAGGTTAAGAACAGAGCACCCTGTTCTTCACATGGCATGGGTTGCATTCACYAACTCAAAGCTATAGAGAAAATGATTTGTTCCAGAGATGTTGTGGCTCATCTCAGAGAAAAGATTTACTTTGGTGGCTTCTCTGACAAACCTCCTTGTCCTTCTCCTCTTATAATCCTTTCTTGTGCTTTTTTCAGTCTGCTCGCAGTTCTCCAAGGGCGTCTATGCCATCTTTGGATTTTATGAGAGGCGGACTGTCAACATGCTCACCTCCTTCTGTGGGGCTCTTCACGTCTGCTTCATAACGCCCAGCTTCCCCGTCGAAACGTCCAACCAGTTTGTTCTTCAGCTTCGCCCAGAGCTCCAGGATGCTCTCATCAATGTCATTGAACACTACAGCTGGCAGAAGTTCGTGTACATTTATGATGCTGACCGGGGTAAGTCACAAGTTTGCAGGGAAAGTTACATGGCAATAAACCATAATGGTTTAGATGCGGTCTGCCTTGAAGCATCCCCTTCCTGTGGGTTGCTGAAGGCTCAGGGGGTAAACTAAAGGAAGGGTCACTTCATTGTTCTTTGTTCCTTTGCTATATATCCTTTCCTGTATAGCCATTCCTGACCATGCTGCAGATGGGACACTGGACTAAATGAAGCATTAGTCTGATCCACTACACCTGTGTTCATACTGACAGGCCAGAAGTCCAGCAGCACAATGGAAATATCTTATGTCTGAGTGATTTGGGTTTTAAATGGGGAGATTATTTGTAATGAAGAGTTTCCATTTTCAATAGTCCACCCACCTCAAGGCTACTTTGAGYCCCATATTTGTGAATATAGAACAACAGCTGCACAGGTTTCATCTGAGAGCACATCAAGGTCTCAAATGAGCACATACAGCTGTGATATGTGTGTGTATCTTTATAGAAGGTAGTCTTCAAAACTCCAAGTTTTATGTGTTAATGTCTTTTTATTTTAAAAAAATCCTTCCATGGGCATTTGGAAGTTATTTCCTAACTTTCTAAACCACGAGCAAGGCAAGTTTCCTCATTGTTCTGTTGACGGCATTTCTCCAGTTTTCAAATGCTTCTAAAGCTCCGGGCTCAGAGGCTGGCAGCAAAGAGGACTTGTGGATGACAACATGTAGGTGAGGGTCATTCCCTGCCACTGCCTTGGGATTTATCATAAGCTCTTGCAGGGACAAGGTGACCCGACAGATGAGGAGAAGGTGTAAAGCATCCCGCTTTGCTTTCTGGTGTGCTGAACATCCTCGGTGCCTGCAGTAGGCAGGATGGTCTAGCTGAACTCTAGGGTGGTCCTGACTTTTTATAGTATCTCTTCTGGGAGGTTGTGCCTGTAATTTAAGCAAGATCCTTTTAAAAATAATGAAGTTTTCTGATGAGATACTGCCAGGGAAGACAAGGATGCTGAATTTGATTGTATATTGCGATTGCTGAGGGAGTCCCTAACCCTAGCAGTTTAGAGCCTAACCAGATCAAAGATGAGAAGGGACTATGGCCCGAAGAAATTAAGTGATTTGGGTAGTGACAGACAACAGAACTGGGATTAGAGCTCTTATCTGAACCTCACAGCAGAGCCTGATCAACAAGACTGATCTGCTGATTACAAAAGAAAACGAGGCTTGGAATCATCCTATTTTTCCTGTGCTAGGACAGAAAAGGCAAAAGTCATTAATTCTAGCCCAGCTGTGTTTGGGTAAAATGCTAGACTATTAACTGCTAACTGCAGTTCTGCTGAGCTCTTGCAATGCCGTGTCAAGCCCAGCTTGAGGTAGCCATGCASGCTGTCAGAAGGGAGCAAAAACAGCACTGCACAAGTTGACTCTGGTTCTCCCTCTACTGACTTATCTCCCTTCTCTTGCCTTTACAGGGCTGTCAGTCTTACAGAAAGTCCTGGACACTGCGGCTGAGAAGAACTGGCAGGTGACAGCTGTGAACATCCTGACGACAACAGAGGAGGGCTACCGCATGCTTTTCCAGGAGCTGGAGAAGAAGAAGGAAAGGCTGGTGGTGGTGGACTGTGAATCTGAGCGGCTGAATGCCATCCTTGGCAAGGTTGTTTTGGCATGGGTCTCCTGGGAGGGGCTGTACATGCAGGGCAAGGAGGTTTTTCTCTCCTGGGGAAGTTCTTTCCATTCTTACTTGAACTTTGTCTCTCTGCAGGTTGTCATGGATGAGATTTGAGCACTTTGCAGCAGGCTGCAGAGCTCWCAAACATTTCTCCTGTATCTTATAAAGTTATGTAAGGCCTAGGACTTCCCATATATTCATGTGCTGCTTCATGGGATTTTATTCCCTGCTTGTCTTGACTCCTTTGCTGAGCCTCTTAAATCCTCAGTCCCCAGTGAGCTTGCTTTATGATAATTCCTCTAAGCAGTGTGCACAAAATGGCACTTTCTACAAGTTTTCCTCAGTTTTTTTCCCTTCTCTGAATTAGAATGAACTGTGAATTGGCACTGCCAAACTCTCCTGGTCTTCTAGCCTCCCTGAGTTGCACCAAATTCTCACATCTGTAGTTTCCTTAGGATTGTTGTTTCCAAAGCAGGCTAGAGCGCAGCATTCTTCTAGGATGTCCAGACTGCRAAGGGTTAAACTCAAAAGATCAGGTGCTTCCAGCTCCTACAGTGCCTTGCGGCAGGTGATATGGGTTCATTTCCAGCCATCTTCATTATTTTGTCATCTTAAGGCCAACAGTGTGACACTTTCATGAAGCAGATGGGATATGTGGCAGAGACTCAGGGACTATGGTTGCGTGCCCTGCCCTTAGGAAGTCTGTAACAGCACAAGCAGCTGGAGTATTGTGACTCCTGCTATCATACTTCTTATAATCAGCTCCCTCTTACCTYGTGGTTCACACGTTGCTTTGTTGAAGCTTGTTTTCATCTCCTGTCTCACACTTCGCTGCTCCTCATGGGTGCACGGACTGCCCTTACACTAGCTGCATAGCTCAGTGACTAGCACAATCCGTCCTGGCTGGATATCTCTGGGTGCTGCTGCAGTATAAATAATAATGAAGCAGATAGGAGGTTTTAACCTCACAGTGAAGACCATGCTCATGAAAAAGAGACTAAATTGTTTTGAAAGGTGAAAGTCCTCTCACAGAGTAGCTACAATGCAGCAAAAGTTCTGACGTGCCCTAGATAGGGTGTATCCATTTTCTAGGTATAATGGTGCATTTTGTTACAACTACTCTGCTTTAAAATGCCTTTTTAAACCTAGTTTGTCTAATAGAAGGTTGAGTTCTGTTAAGTTTACTTTGCCAAATAGGAACAGGATAAGAAGTTTCTATTTCAAACTCTTTCAGGTAACTAGAGCAGGAGTTATGTTTGCACCYAACTGAAGTTGTTTGCAGGAACAGTAAAATCTCCAGTCTTGTGTGTGTTTTTGCAATGCTGTAAATAAAAACCCACCCATTTTCAAGGAAGAGAGAGAGAAATGTATTTTCCTGTGTTAAAGACAGAACAATTCCAGCAGTCCTCCGTGTCCGGTGGGTAAGAAAGGGCTTCTCCTATTAGGCATAGGGCTCTATACAGCAATCCCTGATTTGTTTTTTCTGTCTCTCCCTTGGAGCATATGAGGTGTTTAAAGAACCCCCCAGYCTTTCTGGGATATTTTAATGTGCTTATCTTTTTTCCTGACAAGCCTGTCCCTGTCTTTTGGTGTCTGTGGATTTGTGCTCACTCGTGAGCAGAAGAGCTGAGGGATGCCTGGTAACATCAGTTACTCACATGTTCACCCCAGCGCTTACATGTAGCTCCAGTTTCTCCTCCCTAACCCCTGCCCATGACACAAATAATCCCTTCCAACCCYAGCTCTGCATTCCTGCAGTTCTCAGGACTGTAGTTGTAGGAGGAGCCAGCACTCAAAGCGTTAACGRGATGTGGGCAAATGACCTGATTTCCTTCTCAGAGATTTCTCTGTGTCATATCTCAAGGGCGTGATTTATCTTTGCAGAGGTAACTGTCGTTTATGAGCCAGACCTTGGTTCGGGGCAGGATATCCACAGGGCTGCRTTGTGTAGTCTTAATGGGATAAATAAGCGGTGGGTTGCGTTCCATCAAAGCACTATATTGTTTCTTCCTTGTCTCTCATTAAAATGAATAACTGGAATTTCTCCTTTGCCACTGTTTCACTCTGAGAAGATTTCTCTCTAATAGATGTCAAACTGGCCCATTAAGAAGTGGGTAATGAAACCTAGGTGGCCCAAGTGAGCTATCAGCATGCAGCCCTGCACAGCCTCTCACCACGTTCAGGCTAAGTGATAAATGCTATTATAACCTCAGCTTGCTACCGCCGTCCGGACACATTAGGACTGAGCAAGCATTTTAAAATAAATTAAGATCACAAATAACTGTGTAAAACACAGGAAGCAAGCCTTATAATTCAGGCGGATGGGCKGCAAGATTAACAGCTCGAGGAGAGCTGGACAGCAGCCCTCTGCAGTTCATTGACTCTGACACCTTCTAAAATAACAAAGGGGCAGTTTGGGCACAAGGAGCCAGTGCCAATTATTATAGACACTGGGGAAATGGGGAACTGGCTTGTAATTCTTTGGCATCCCAGTGCCCCAGGGATGCTCCTTCCTCCCACAAGATCCAGGACTCACTGCAAAGGTGAGTCTCAGTTGATGGATGGAAGGGGACAAGCTGGGTCTGGTTTTGCTCCTGACACCTGAGCACAGAAGACAGCCAGCTGGAAAAAAAACCCAAGGATAAGGATAGGCATCTGTGGGAGAAGAGAGGTTCTGCTGAGAGCTCCAGCCTCACCTGCAGAAGCCACGCTGAGGACCCTGTGGGGAGAACCACGGGGCAGTGAAGCTGGTGGAGCTGAAATTGGATGCATAGGAAACCGCTGCCTTCCTTGCTGGATTTTGCTTGAGCATTAGCAATTTAGCCAGTAATTCAGAATCAATTCATAGACAATAGAAATATGTAGTACTGTTGCCAGCAAAGAAACTGCATGAAAACGGCTTAGTTTCAACAAAAAAATGGAATTTTGTGTGTGTATTTTGTTTTGTTTTCTCTGGCATGGAAAGGGTGTTGGTTTGGGCTTTTCCCCCTCCCTTACCCCTGTTTTGTTTCTTTCTGTATATGGTTTGGCTCAAATGCAGATGATAAGAAATCAACTCTGCTGTTAACATTAATGAAGAGAAACTTCCAATGGAAGCCCACAGCCAACAAGCATCCTGTGATTTTAGATGTATTATTTTGGGGTTTCTTAAGTGAAAGGACAAAAAGACAGAGACCATGTGATCTGTGGGATCTCTGGAGTTATGGACACATCAGATGGTCCCACAGATGGACCATCGGTCTCTGGGATATGCCCATCATCCCAGGAAAACCAGTAACAGCTGGTGTGTTCCTACCTAGATAAGGGAAGCTGTTCTCACTAACACAGAAACTTTCAAATGTTACAGATTTGTGAGCAGTTATGTTGATAAAAGAAAATCTCTCTCCCTGAATCGGGGAGAAAGAAAGGAATGGCCAAAAGCCACCATTATCCTACGAGTATGAAGATCTCCTCAGCATCTTGTTCATTTAGCATCTGAAGCCTAAATCTTGTTTAATTCCTTAAAAAATAARTTAAATTTAAAAGCATCGTTCTCTCCTTGAATGCATGGGAAACGTTGATTCAGGTCATTTGCTCTGCCTACTTGGTAATCTTGTCCTATCTAATTTCAGATTTGCTGCTCAAATATCATATGCTGAAAGCTCAATCTTATGGCCCTCACGAAAACAGTCTAATTGGGGAAAAAATGGAGATGGGGATCAGACAGGTGAACCTCTACTTCTTGCATTGGTCTCTGCTAAATATCTTTGTTTTTTCCTGCAGATCATCAAGCTTGAAAAAAATGGGAATGGATACCACTACATTCTGGCAAATATGGTGAGTTTTCATATTGCTTCTTTTATAGTCTTTCCTTATTATTTTCTTTCTTAGCTATTTTTTTTTTTGCAAAGTACTATATGTATAATGATAGAGCTGGCAACCTGTTTATGTTTTTCATCCACGTTCTGGGTAGCAAAAATATCCAAGTCCTTTGTGGTGTTCTCCTTGTGGAGTGTTCTGTCCAGAGCCACTGAGATCATACCAGGGTATCTCCAGCGTTCCTGGAGGGGTTGCCTCCAATTTCAATCTGCATCTTTTCAAGCCAGTTAAGCCAACTGTCAATTAAAGCGGGGAGTTTTCTTGCGTGTCATGGGGACTTGTGCTCCTGGCATCATCCTTCCAGCTCATTTCTGTTGGGCAGCCATGAAGATGTCAACTGCTGGTAATGACTTGCATTTTCTACTAGTTTTAACCCCATTTCAGTGTGTGCCCTCAAGTGAAGTGTTTCACATGCTGTGAGCCATCCTGAGAGCTCTAAGAGCAGACTTGATGGATGCACTGTGATCCCTCTGACCTGCCAGTAAACCAAAGCTGTGTAACTTTTATGCAACTTGATGCGAAATCAAATCTTTAGGCTCAAAAGAAAAAAAAAAWGAATTTAAAATTCAATTAAAAATGATTTTTTTCTGTAAGGAAAAGATTCTCTTTTTAATGCAGGGAGGCACTGCCTGAGAAAGCTGTGGTGGGCAGTGGCATTAGAGTCTTTCTGATGCCATCTGCAGATCCCCCAAGAAAGATGGAAAATGTCTCTGTTTAGAGAGGTTTGGGAGGTGATAGGAGAAAGAGAGGAACAGCCCCAATTCACTTGGAGCMTGGAAGATTTCCTCCACAGAGCTCCTGTCAGAAGATTCATTGATAGCTCTTTACTCTGGACATGCACCAGTCAAAGCTGATGGCAGCCTCGGGTCAGAAGTGCTCTCCAAAAAAGGACCCGCTTTGGAAGGCAGGGATTTGGCAGGGAAGAGGGTGTCCTTCAGCTCCAGTCCTGCCCTTGTCCTCTGCAGGGACACGGTGGCCCAGCAAGGTTTGCCACCCACGGGGTCTGGAGCTGCTCGTCGCTCCTGCAGCTGCAAGGCTCTACGTCAGGCCCTGGGTAATTAAACTTTAAACTACCAATTAGTCAGGCAGTTGCTGCCCTTCTCCTTCTCTCAGTCCCAAGATAACTCAGTAATTTGTGAGACAGAAATGGCCACATAATTACCCTGCAATGCCCTAATAGTGATCCTGCACTTCTGCGCCCTGGCTACCCTACAATTACAAAGTTAAAAACGTTACGCTGTGCAGGGGGGGACATGCGAGCTGCAGAGCAGCCACGAACTGCAGTTGCCAATTTTTAAAAATTATTATTTGCTGTAAGCCAGAGCCCTAGTTGTCAGAGGATTATGTATGTGCCTTCATTAAGGTGAAGCAAGGAAGCTATCTGGAGTAGTGGAGGGGTGCGTATCTATATGTTTCAACATATACCCACGTGGTAGGGTAAATGAGAAYGATATCACCTCTACTGTTTCCACAGCTTCATAAGGATAAATACCTTAAAGGCATAAGGTTGCCTGAAGTTCTGGTGATAGAGGTATGAAGGGCATTTCCTTGTGTGTTATATCTCTCTCTCTCCCACTTTCAGCACTCTTCTCCCATCTTTAATTTCYCTTTTCTTAGCCCTCACAAATGCTGAGAGGACAGAGCTGGCTAGAAGGCGGCTGCGTACTCAGCCAGCACGGGTTATAAATAATTAACTCGGAGCAAAAGGCTCTTCAGTTCTCCAGCCCCTCCACAGGGCTCTGCTTCCCGGGCTGCTCAGCGGGAGCAGTTTTCRGTCCCAGCTGCTGGTCCCTGCAGCGTCTGCACTTCTGACAGGACCCCCACAACTCACTGTATTAGTGGTACTTTTCAAAGTCACTTTGATTTTTTGGACAGAGGAAGGGGAGCAAAAGGACCAGAATCTCTTTCCTTTGTTTTTCCTTCTGCTTAAAACCCAGCATTGGATGATAGTCATCCTCCAGAGACAGGGATGTTAAATAGTAAAAGAAAGGGTATAATCAAACAACCTGGGAAAACCATTATAAAAAAAGAGGGAAAACTCCTCAACATTACAATGGCCCTTTTGTGGGCAGGTTGCAGACATGAAAAGCCAAATCATTTCTCTGGATGTGCGGCACCTGCATGGCAGCTGCTCACTCATCTGTTCTTCAAGAAAAATGCGAGGACATCTGAAGATCCTGTATTTCTGAGCCTGCCATAGGGGCAAGGAATTGGCAGGTCTGTCCTGTGTGGGGATGGCCAGAGAGGTTATGACGGGTTGCCAGAATGTGTCAACATCTGGGAGGGTGAAACTGCAGTGCAGTGCTCTAATTCAAGAGATCATGGTAGCTTTAACCCTTTTCTAAGGACATCTCATTCCTGGATTAGAGCCTTCAGAGGGTGTAACATGCTGTAATTTATTCACACTGACTCATATACAYAGTGGATAGACCTTAAATACCCCACATTTTCCCCTGTAGATGAGTCCTAGGGGGACAGGGTGTGCATTGCCCACACGCCCACATATATCTGCATTTGCATGCCCGCACACRTAGAAGCCAGTCTGATTTTGTGGGTAAGGCACAATTTGGAGTACTAGGTTGTAAGAGTATAAATTAAGAGCTAAGAACTGCAAATGTCTTTGCATTTCCAAATGAGTGACTTCTGGTGCTGGCTGAGGTASTCCTGATTTTAGGAGTCCCATCCTGCCCCGCCAGTGTGAACATAAGGCTCCTTCCCTAGTCAGAACAGGCCCTGCCTTGCAAGTCAAGGGAGCCCTCAGCTGGTTCTTTGGTGCCCATTGCTTAGTTACTTGYACTAGCTACTGAGTGGATGAAGTTTGAGACCTGCCTCTTTGCTATACTACGTAAATTTGGGGTCCCTTTACCACGGAGAAACAATCAAGGAAATGGTATAYTTGGAGCAAATGTTGGTAATTTCTGGTCATGTTCTTGGTCAGAGCTACACTCAGCCAAGCACAAAGTACTGTTCAGTCCAGCAACTCTGAATCGAAGCTGTTTCAGGAACCCAAAGTAGATAAATGTGCGAGTAAGGGCCCAAAGACTCCTACTAAAATGATCCAAGAGAGCATCTTAATCAAGGTGGGACTTGCTATCTGGTCATGGGCAACTCCTGGGCAAAACCAGATACTAGCTTTTATTAATCACTGGTTGTTTGCCGAGCGGTTGCTGCCTGGAAAGCCGTAGTAGAGCACCAAGCAGAATTTGACAAGAAGCAGCAAATGAAAGCTARTATTTCTTAGTAGGAACAGCTTTCTTTTTCAGTGAAATTGCTGTTGCCAAGGTGAGACAATAGTATTTCTGTGTTTGCAAAGAAAAATGAAATTGTTCTGCACCTTAGGCCATGGACAAACATCTTCCCCTGTTTCTGGCTGTGCCTGTTGAGGGTATGAGCTCTCCAGTCTGCTCAGCCCTGCACATCCCATGAAGGTCCGTCCCGTAAAGGTTCTTTTCCAATGGCACTGCCACGGGAAGGGCTCACGGGAACATTCCTGCCTCTTCTTGGCGCAGCTTTGGCCAGGTCAGCACCTGCCTCCTYCTGCAGTGACTTCTGTGTCCGGTCTAATTTTGCAGTCAAGGGTGGTGCAGCCCCACTGGGGACGCCCCCCTCTGAAGCTTGTCATCCACTACCGCTGTTTGCACACAAAACCTCAGTCGCTTTTGCAAGCCCGTGAAAAATGGATTTTCTGCCACTGCCCACTAGCTACTCCAGTTAGCTTCCACCAGCTGCTGGTCTGCGTATTTGCCAGGTATGCCTGCACAAGGGCTTTGTAGTCCTCTCCCTTCTTCCCTCCCTCCCTGCCTTTCTCTCTCTGCTCTCTGTGCTTTTTTTTTTAGAGCTCAAAGAGGTTTTTGGCAAGTTTAAGAAGTATTTGTTTCTCTGGGTTTTATTTTTCTAGGCTTTGTTCTCTGCCTTTGAGAGCCTCAGTCTAGCAACCACAAAGGGAAAAATATAGCCAATACTACAGAGCAAGCTTAGAAACTTCTGGGATTCCTTTCTTTTGATGTTGCAAACTTTTTTCCTATAACCTTGGGTTCCTGTGTCTGTTTGCCTTATGCCAGTGATGTGGGTTGACTACTGTCAGTAATGGTAGAACATCAGCTCTCCTGGGCAGAGAAAAAAATGTCTTAAAATAAGTGACATTCCTGTGACCTGTCTTTAAAAGAAAAATATTAAGGACAGCTGCCGTATACACTTTTTTTTCCCTGAGCATTAGTCCAGGTTCTTCTTTTAGCAGATGCTCAGGTTTGAAGCTGAACAGATAAGTGCATGAGTTTGCTGATGCTAAGGTGGCAGGGAAAAGATAAGAGCAGTGTCAATTAGCAAAGGTAAGCATTTTTTTTTTCCTATGCCATTTTATATCAGCATGTGTCTGTGTTGAGTTAGGCYATGGACAGTTTCACTTCGCAAGCAGCTGTGATGGTTTCAGAAGTTACCAGCGCAGCAGTTTTCCAGCAGAGTGGCTTGAACAAGACACAGACAAAATCCACAGGTTTAGTTCAGTTCACCTGTCATTTAAATGCATTTCTTTGATCTTTGCCCTGAAAATGGAATCGGAATTCTTGGGAGAAATTCTGCACCACCAGAGCTGAGACACTATTACTACAAGTCCTGGAAGGATTTTTGCTGAAGCTAGGCAGTGACTTTAAAAAATTACTGAGCATCAGGTGAGCAATATTATTATATTACAACCATTGAAAGGAAAAATGGGTTTGTCTAGATCTCGGCAAAAGTGTGTTAAGCTAACAGGTTTCATCTGCTGTTTGCAGTCTCCTAGTCCATTAGCCTGGCTCATCTGACAAGGAGTAACTTGTAAATCCATGATATCTTTCTCATGGTGACTTCATTTCTACTATGAATTTGCATTTCTTTAGCTTTCTTTAAGTGGTTATCTTCACCTGACTTACTGTGCTTGCTACCAATAGACCTGCACAAAACAACACAACAGACCAATCTTT